TTTTGAATATATAAATATTTAGAAAATGTCTAAACATATTTTTTTAAAATAATATAAAAAAAAAAATTTAAAAATCTAAATGGTTTTACATCTATAAATATTTTAAAACATTCACAAAATCTTTTTTAAATGAGTTGAGTAACCCATAGGCAAATGTCCTGTCTAGCTATCCCGTCCCTTCCTCACCCTATAACTTTTTTTTTTTTTTAATTTCTTTTCAGACTCTGCAACAAAACGTCGGTGGGCAGCGACAGCTGTAACCTGATGTGCTGCGGCCGCGGATACAACGCCTACACGGAGACCGTGGTGGAGCGCTGCCAGTGCAAATACTTCTGGTGCTGCTACGTCATGTGCAAGAAGTGCGAACGGACTGTGGAACGATACGTCTGCAAATAAACATTTCTTTTTGCCGACGTCGAGTATTTTTGAGACGGAGATGCCAGCTGGCCCTTTAAAGGGTTAAACAGTACTTTTGTTTTTGAGGAGCTGGAAAAAAACCAATGCGCGTACTAGAAGGGCGAGGTTTGATTGGTCACGGCAGAGAGTCGGCCGGCGGCGATCGATCTGCGTTTTTGTTCCTTTTTTGACGCTCCGGAGTTGGGATTGGATGCTGCCATAGAAGAGAAATGACGGCCCTTCCCCGGCCAATCAGCAATGCTCTAGTGTTTTTAAAGGGGGGCCTTGCAGTCTGCAGTATTGGCTATGTTTCCCACCACCCCCTACACACTACACACTACACACCACCGTGAACCACTAGGCCTAAAAATTGAGGTTTTGGAGTTTATAGATGTAACAAAAGAGAAACCAATGTCACACAACCAGGAAATGCCCTTCACACTCATTGCCATGCACTGCATTCATTTTAAAGTGGGGATCCTTACCTTGGATAGGGATGGGGGGAGTGGGAGCGTGGGGCATCTTAACTTGGATCGGGATGAGGGGGAGAGTGGGGCATCTTATCTTGGATTGGGATGAGGGGGAGCGTGGGGCATCTTACCTTGGATTGGGATGGGGGAGCATGGGGCATCTTACCTTGGATTGGGATGGGGGAGCGTGGGGATCCTTACCTTGGATTGGGATGGGGGAGCATGGGGCGTCTTACCTTGGGTGTTCTTACCTTGGATTGGGATGGGGGAGCGTGGGGACCCTTACCTTGGATTGGGATGGGGGCGCGGGGGAATCCTTACCTTGGATTGGGGTAAGCAACCTCAGAACTCCAGCTGTGGTGGAACTACAAGTCCCATGAGGTGTTGAAAGGCTGACAGCCACAGGTGTGAGGCATGAAGGGATTTCAAGTGCTGAAGTTGCCTTCTATCCTAGCTCAGGGGATAGGCAACCTCGGCACTCCAGCTGAGGTGCACCTACATAACCTATCATCCCTCTGGGTGTCGGAGTCTTGCAATGCCTCATGGGACTTGTAGTCCCACAACAGCTAGAGCGGAGGTTGCCTATCCCTGTGCTAGCTTTTTACGCCTTTGCCTTATGCCAGGGTGACAATTATTTTGCTTTTGGGAGATGGGGTGCTGCCATAGAGGTCATGCTGCAGCCTGCAGGGTCCCCCCCTTTCAGAACGCCGCGCCCCTTGCTGCTGAACCTGCCCTGTATATTGTAGATATGTATGGTATTGTCTTGTGTAGATTTTATTCCTGTGTGTGTATATAAT